TCTATGGATGCCTCTATGGTAAGTATTTGGTTTGATTTGTACGTCCCATTTTAGAAGCGTCGAAAAAAGAGAATGAAATATGACTCTGCACAAATTGAGATGCGACCTCACTATGATTTCGTCCTATTTGTTAAATAACTATCAATTTTAATTCTCGCTGCGCATCCTTGTTCGCTTTCACATACATCCTTATCTCGCCAACCTTGAGGCCTAGACCTGAACTGACAAACCAAAGCTACATACCCCATCACCAAAAATGTCCTGCTCTTCTCTCAGTCCCAGTATTATTCAGAAAAATTGGCATTGCTCTCTGTTGTTTATTAGATTATTCTAGACTCGTTTGATGAAGTTTTTTACTGTCATTAGATTAATCGTGACTTAATTGCGACACATATATCAAGCCTAAACTCTATATCACAATCTCCTGCAGTCTTTTTTAACTATCCGTTTTGACTTTAATCTTATTTTCGCCTTTCACCTTTTTAGTCCTCTAGCCCAGGAAAAAGTGGCTTCAGTAAAAGTCTATACCGCCCCCCCCTAAAGCACTAGATTTTTCAGAAAGACTTGAAACATTTGCTGCTTTATTACAATTTTTGAATTATTCAGCCCCCTCCCAAGAGCGACATGCCAACTGTGCCACTTCTTTAGCCATGAAATCTGTTATAGTCGATTGCGATCTCTATGCTCACAAAAGAAGGTGGCATATCACGGTAGATTGCTACTACTGATGTCTATAAATCAATCTCAAATCTTTTCATTTCATTTTGATTTGGACGGATCGATGCGTTTTTTCCCTTGAAGGCAAATCGCGTCAGCATTTACGAGAAAAAACATTTTTACGCTTTGTTGCTGGCTTGTACCTCTAGCACATAGAAATGAGATGTGGTATTCCATTTTGCAGTCTGTGGACAGGGCCTTGGCATTGAGCATGGCAGTGCGCTTCCTTCAGGGTTTGCAATGACGTCATCTTCCCACTCCTCTGGACAAGAAGCGGTATCAGGTCGTTTAAACAATCCAACATCCGTTTGGTGTGCCTCAGGAACCACTAACCAGTTTCTGCAAGTAGATTTTGGGAAAATCGTTACTGTCAGTGGAATTGCAATTCAAGGTAGCCCAAGCTCTGCATCTTGGGTCAAAGATTTTTATGTTGACTATGGAACAACACTCAGCTCTCTTATCACCTACCAAGAAAATACTGGGAATAAGGTGAGTTAAAACATAATTTAGTTTCAGAGCCCTTTCTATTATGGCTTTGATTTGCTTTTGTAAGCACAGAGGAAATAGTAACTTTACTAGTGCTCCTAGCAGCACTTGAAACATGCTTGAGCATTCGTAGAAACATAGTGTGGAAATTGAATGCAATTGTACATTTACTCAACGTCGAGGATTAGGAATTAGTTGTTAGCATCATGGCCCTTTATCTTCATTAGCCCCGAAAGATAGTGTTGGTCAGAACTGAATGCGATGATGTCTTCATACTTTCTACCAACTCTTTTTTAGCTTTTCATTGGAAACTCTGATCAGAACACGATAGTTGTGAACTGGTTCCGTGCGCGGCTGCAAACGAGATACGTGAAAATAAAACCAAACACGTACAATTCAGGTGTCTGTATGCGAATTGAGATTCTTGGCTGCAACTTAGGTAACAACTCATCCTTACATTTCTACGAGTGATTCTTGCTGATAATAGAATACTGTGCATGTCTCTAACATGAAAAAGTCTCTTTTCAGGAAATGCTGACAAGTATTTTTATAATTTCATCAAAAATAATAATGTTTTTCATGGACTTACATAAATGATATACACTTTGGCTAGAAATAAAAACTGTTTAGATGGGATAAATGCTCAAAGTTTTGGTTTTTTCTTAGCAATTTTTATGATAACCTTTTTCTAGTATTTGGTTTTAGTTCATGTAGTTACTTTTTGGCGCGTTCTCATTTTATCTACAACCAATAAAACGCAATATTTTATCTCAATGTATGAAGCTTGAAGATTAGTGAATCCGATCTAAGAGGAGATGTTGATAGGGCATCGCCAACAATCCCCTTACAAAACCTGCGCATTTTCTGTGGGACACCAGATACTAATGATACTAACATTATCCATTTAATTAATCTTTTGGTGGTACAAAACTTGTAAATGGCTTCAAAAAAAGCAAACATTTAGTAAACTAAAGCTTTTCGTCTGACACTCTTCAGAGTTTAAAACGTCAGAACATCGATCGAAAACTCTACGCTAAGAAATATATATACCCAGTTGTGGATCGAAATAGGCCAATCAGAAACACGAGCACATGACTGTATAGGTTGACCAATCTGTGCCGCTTGCCTATTAGAATGTTACCAGTGGAGTCCTAAGGTGAAAACGAACTCCTTTTTGTCTACACAGTAGCGGTTTTTCGTGCTTATGTAGATAGATTCTAAAAATGCTAGGTGGAACGACGATTGGGCTTTACCAATAATCCGAAACATGTCGCCATTATAGTTTTTGCAAAATCTGGGTTTTCTAGTAAATGCTGCCCGATAGCAGAATCGCAGGTTTTAGTTGTAATTTTAGATTTGCAAGACCGAGGTGGTTGTTCTCTTTGGGGATGGGTTTTGTTTCTAATATTAGATGGAACATGTTGTTTTATTCTATCCTCTAATCTTTGGGTGGTGCGTCCTACGTAGCCAGAATCACACTGGCACGTAAATTCATATGCAACAGAACCTTTTTGTGTGGCAGGAACGCAGTCCTTTTGAATGGACGGAAGGGCCTTTTTCGTACTATGAACAACACGTGGGTTGACCGCAAAGAAACAATTAGTAATGGCCTGTTTTATTTGGCTTTCAAAACGAAGGGAGCTGTTACCGATCCAGGGTAGTTTTAACTAGTTTGGTAAAGCCCGATCGTCATTCCACCTAGCATTTTTAGAATCTATCTACATAAGCACGAAAAACCGCTACTGTGTAGACAAAAGGAGTTCGTTTTCACCTTAGGACTCCACTGGTAACATTCTAATAGGCAAGCGGCACAGATTGGTCAACCTATACAGTCATGTGCTCGTGTTTCTGATTGGCCTATTTCGATCCACAACTGGCTATATATATTTCTTAGCGTAGAGTTTTCGATCTATGTTCTTACGTTTTAAACTCTTAAGAGTGTCAGACGAAAAGCTTTAGTTTACTAAATGATTGCTTTTTTCAAAGCCATTATCCATTTACTTAACCTTCAGATTCCGTATATGAATTCGGTGCTGAAAACAGAGCTTTGCCAGACAACAGATTCTCTGCTTATGCGACTACAGATTTTCTCAACAATGGTAGATACAAGGCAAAGGATGGTCGCTTGAACAATGACAGACCCTGGGGATGCAGCAAAAATGAAAGATCGTTTCTCTGGTTTAAAGTTGATTTAGGCCGAGTTATGCTGGTAACTGCAATTGCTACACAGGGTGACAGAACGTACGGCCCAAACTATTTCCCTGACTTCAAATTGCAGTATACTCGGGGTTCAAGAAATATCACGATCAAAGAAGAATCTAGCTCAAATGAGAAAGTAAGCTTCCTATCTGCTTTCGTGATATTTGTGTTATGAAACAAACAAATAAATGTCTAGTAGATTATCGTCATAACATGCTCAGTAATAATGCGATTTTATTCGTTCTTATATCTCCTTTGCATTTGCTTTTATAATCATCATAACTACTCATATTTAAGGTTTTCATTGGAAACACGAACAATGCTGGTGTCAAGTTCAACCTTTTTGAAAAGCCAGTATCAGCAAGATATATCCAATTCATTAAAAACAGCCCTGTATTATGGGATAATTCGTTGACTCTTGAGGTTTACGGTCGGCCTTCAAGTGAGTATTCAACCTTCGGCATTCTTTGGACGGTTGTTTATGTTAAGTGATTGTTTATTTGTTCATTGAAGCATTCGAGTTGCAACAGAAGTCCTCCTACAGTTTTGGCTACATTTGACATTTGACAAATTATTTGGATATAGATAACAGGTATATAATGCAACTACATCGTTGGATTTTATGCTCTCAGTTGTGACACTCTTTAGCTGCCATTACAGGAGCGACTGCTCAAGTCTTTAGCAAGTTCACTTGCTAAAAATTTTCATATGCAAAACCTGCCCGTGTAGATGACTTGACAAGTAAACTTGCCACTTTTGACTCAATTTCGACCCTTTTTTGCGCCATTGTCTCTTGTTGGGAGTTATTTTTGGCACGATAAACGTTTTTTGTCACAGACATCAAGGCGTAGCCATGGCCTATACTATTGTCAGAACAAATAACTATTGTCAAGAAGACTTGTCTCCTTTTTATACGAGTAGTTATAACCCGTTAAGAAAAAATTGTCAAACAAAACTTGTTGCCAATCTACACAGCCAAGGCAATTTTTTTTTTGTAGTTGAAGAAGTACCAAATTTTTATTTTTTAAAGTAAGTTTCAATGACGCAAGCACCTTTATAAGGTATATGACTTTGATGCAAACAGTAGTTTTATCTAGAACAACTTTCGCTGTCAAATCCAACACATTTATTCAAACCTTATTATTCTTGTCAAATCTAGAGCAATGAAAAAAGCAAAAAATTGTATCCAGACTAATTGTGTCTGGTGGTAAAGGTAAATCAAAATTTAAAAGAGTTGAGGTACATATTAAAAAAGTGTGAGTAATTTGAAAGACCAGCCTATTACATGAATTCATTTCTTGTGCGATGAAAATGTGCTTCAATTGGCCTGATTACAAAGTAGTATGATATTGGTAGGCTTACCCTACTACCCGGTCCAACTAAAGCTTGCCTTTAAAGAAAATTTAACCGATGGGGTGTTGCAACAAAAAACGTGAAGATCTTTAACTTTGCTGTGTATCATACCGGCATTTCTTTCTTTATAATGACGCCACAAAATGCTTTCAGAAATATTTAATTTGTGTCCCGGACTGGAAGAGTATGATGAAATTGCTCTAAATGTACAAAGTCGTTTAAATATGTTATGGCTGAAAAATGGGTACATGAGCACAGTAACTTGCTTCGCGGCACCTACAAAATCAGTATTTGTTCATAACTGTCGTTTCTTTGTATATTTTATTTATAAAATTTAGGTCATTATCTTGACCCACTGTTTCGTAGGTTACCCATTTCGGTACCCTGGGTTCTGAAGCTTCAAAAATCCAGGGATAAAGTTTTGTAGAGAGCTGGAAAATTTTCCTTTGACTAGATTCTAACTATAGTTTCAACTTTCAACTATACTTATACAACTAAATAATGGAGACTGTGTTGGATAGGGTATCGTTTCCGCTCTAGCAAAGTCTTCCTTGGCACTATCTCCCTTTTTAACCTTAAAATCTGAGAAAGCAATTAATTGTTTGCAACATCTGCCAAAGGGTATTTGATTTTGGGGATGTTATGATGCCGTGCCATTAGAAATCATTTTTCCTGCAGTTTGCAGTTCAAGTTTTAGCATGGTAGCTGGGGAGCCAAGCACGAATAACCCGACCGTGAGTGCTTCAAGTGGAATAGTACCTAATCAGCGAAGCAAACTAAACACTCCTAACTCATGGTGTGCAACGACATCTGATACGAACCAGTTCTTTCAATATGATTTTGGCATGGCAAAGGTGATTAGTGGATTTGCAATGCAAGGAGATCCATTATTGGAAAAATGGATTGAAACTTTCAAAGTTCAATATGGGAATGACGTGTCATCCCTGTCGACCTACCAGGAAGGGGGGAGCGATAAGGTATCATTTTAAGCGCAATTTATATATCCTAACATTTTCCTGCAAATTATTCCCATTTTATATGAAGAAGTTCTTTGACGGTATATGAAAATCTCTAATCTGTTTCATTTTCCAGACTTTCACTGGTTGCAAATCACGTGAGGGGATTGTTTATCATTGGTTCTCATCCAGTTTAAAAATACAGTATCTAAGAATAGTTCCGTTGACCTGGAAAACTGCGATTTGTTTGCGGATGAATGCCTATGGTTGCCCAAATTCAGGTATTGTAACATAACCAAAGACTTATTTGTCTCGTCTGTTGTGCTCATTTTAGGTTGTCTTTTGTGGCTCAGATGACATGTTTGATATCGAAGAATGCTTTTGAAAGACAAAGATCTTTGTTTTTGACAAGAGCACACTGCAGATTTCTGTCTTGGAATGCAAAAGACCAAACTCTTCTTCTTTCAAGACAAAAATCTGCGTTGGGCTAAAGGGCCCGTTCACACCACTACGTTTTCAAATGAAAACGTAGTCAAACTGTGCCGTTTTTGCCTTGCGTTCACACTACTCTGCTATGAAAATGGAGCCGTTTGAAAACGCTAATAAAAACGGATACTTTCGAATACGGTGCCTATAGAATACGCTCCGTTTTCAGTGTGAACAACTTCAACAAAATACGTGCTTTCTACTAGCACCCCAAATGTTGTAACTGGTAGCTGTTACAACAAAGTTATTTAATTTCACGTATAATGATGTCAATTTTTGAGGATTCGTGAACGCCTGTTTCCAAAAAATGTGGTCACCAACAGTGTTTCTGTTTAAGTAGTGTGTACACCAACCGTATTCAAATCATATTCATTTGAAAACGGATAAATGTGAACGGACCAACACAACGGACGGCGTTTTCATTAACGAAAACGGAGCGAACGAATACAGAGCAGTGTGAACATAGCCTAAGATGATTGAATTCAACCAGTGATCTAAGCTGTGATAAACGGATTGCCTCAATGATGACGTCATAAAGTTTCACATGTATAAAAGTTCCACACTGATGATAATGTAATATACTCTTATACGAATATATGTATTATAGAAATCAAATAATGGTGATCCGGTATAACGGAGTTATAACGCCGCAAAAGTATTCAATTGCCTCCATTTCATTTCATTCATTTCATTTGAATGTTTAAGGAGGGTAGCCCTTCAGCAATGTTGTTTTTCAAGGGGCCCTCCACTTAAAATACTTACAGAAATTCTTCATTAAACACATTATCCTAATTACAATTCAATATTTACAATCTAAAATAAATCCTATTTTAACTTGAATTTAATTTTACTATAAATATCTATAACGAAAGGCGGAATGGTA